GTTCCATCGCACCGGGACTTGCGGGACCGGCACACTTCGCACTGTCGCCAGTTAGTACGACGGGCCATGAACTGACGGCTTCACATACTGCGATTGTAGCCCTCCTCCGGGGGTAGTCGATGCCGACGTCTGTGTTCCTCCTCTTGAGCGGGTTGGAACCCTCGTCGCTGGGCGCCTTGTTCATGCCATTGGTCAGAGCATCTGGGCGATTATCGGACGACTGAGACATGTTCCGGGCCTTTTGCGCGGACCCGAGAATCCCATCTCTGCTGAAACTGGGCGTTCTTTGGGTTTTGAGCGATGCGGGCGACTTTAAAGGGTGTATGCCGTTGGTCATTGATGGTGAGGGCACCTCAATGTTGAACGTCTCACGCGACGGCACAGAAAAGGGCCTCCCCGCGTTGCCCGTGGCCGAGCGGGGAGAGTCGCCCGTCGAGGACGGGGACATCGCCTGCGTCTGGAGGCGAAGAAGCTGGGTGGACGACGTGGTGGGCGGGCGTTGGTGCGCCGCGACAGCGCAGCACAGGACAGGCGGTGGAGTATTTGACGAGTGAAACCTGAGTGACTACGGAGCGGCTGGCAGGCGAGCAGATCAGTAGCCGTAATCGTGAGGTGCGATGCGAACAGTTTCAGCTAGGCGCTCAGTCAAGACAAAAGGGCAAAGACCACGCTCGAAGCTATCGAGGCGGCGTTCCACGGATGTCCTTGGAGGAGGAAGGGGGGAACGATAGAACGGCGAGAAGAAGGGATGCACGGCAGTGGAGCAGTTATTATGGATGGGAGAAGCGCTGATGGGGGAAGAGGAAGATGCGGAGGATTCCAAACGGGGTTGTTGGTGCTGCTACAGAGACTGGGTAACTCTCTGGGGAAAAGGCAGCCCTCACCGTACAAAGGTACAGAAATGTACAATGTCGCTACTCTCTCGCCATCAGGTCAACGGGGAGCTCTAGCTTCGTCTCTTTTGCCCCAGACCCCGGCTTGGAGTCGTTGGAGCCATTGGTGTACTGGTGACAGACACGCAGTCCTCATCCCCACCCCGCAGACCTAAAGGTCAAGCCAGGCCAGTCAGGACAGACGGTTGCAACGGGCATGGGACGAAACGGGGATGGGAAGGGAATGGAGGAGGACGAGATGGGGTACCGGGGTAAACGGGGCTACGCTAGAGGCTGCAGGCCCTGTCACTTCTCCATCCGCCAGAGCCCGACCGAGTGAGCCTGGGATAGGGAACATGGTGCCTGGCGCGCGGAAATCCAGAGTGTGGGTGTGCTACCCGTGGCTTGGAGGTGAATCCATGGGATGGCACACAGTATTGGGGGCTCGGTCCTGTTCCTTGTCGATGCCTGTCACGCAGGGTGGTGATGTTGGGGTTTTGCGTTTGCCCGTGTTTTTCGGTCGATAGCGGCGGTGATCGAGGCGCGGAAGAAGTCGAGGTGAGGAACGTGTACGCCGCAAAGAGCCGTTAATCGAATGGTGAGAGCAAGCGATGCGGTCGAGGAGATGCTTTTCGACTAATCTGCAGTACTTTGAACCGCATATTGCTGGCCGTCTACCTGACCCAAGGCTGGGATGACAGCCCGTGTCTACCGTGCCGCACAACTCAGTGTATTTTTCATGGGGAGAAGAACCCCAAAAGTCTCGAATCATGCAGTCCTTGGTACCGATCGACTCTGCGAATCCGGGGGAGGGTCCCCTAAATGCCCAGGGTTGGCGGGGGAAACGTGGTGAGGGGTGTGTGTGTGTGTGTGTTAAAGTTGGTGCTGGAGTTACTACTGGATGTCTGTCCACATCCGACCAGCAGGCCGAGTTCCATGTTGTCCATCTCGTCTCGACATTATTTCTCGCATGGCACGAAAGACCGGTGAAAGGCTAGTGATCTGCCAGAAAACATACGCCGTTGACGATAAACAAGGCCACGGGCTGAAGCAAGGGGGCAGGCAAGGTGATGAGTGAGATCTTCTGCAGAGAGGAGTTGTGTGGTGGAGACGAACTTGACGCTACAAAAGGTACCTCAGTAACCCTGAAAGGTAGTGGAGGGGAGGATGGCGGTATGTGTACACTAAGGGGTCTGTTGGTGGTCGATGTAATGTGACGGGAAATGAGTTAACGACGGCCACCTCGGGTCAGTCAGTTGCCATTGTTGGCTCTCTTGTACTGTATTCGCTGCCGTCGAGGTCACTGTAGAAACAGACCTGGGATCCAGAAAAGACAACCTCTGCGCCCAGCATAGGCGGTATGGCAACACGACACCAGATGGAATGACGGCGGGTTTGCGAGTGAGGTTGTTCGGATCAAAGGAAGAAAGCGCCGGAGCACGGTGTGAACACGGTGTTGAAACGACACGAAGTGCCATTGCACCCAGAGGAATTATCAACATCACACGGTACGTCGCCTTCCTCACTTCACATCAACGGTTGCCCGAAGACGCCAATAAGCATTGCCAGCAAGCATTTCAAAGCCCCCTCGAAATTTCAACAGCTTCGTCACTCACCCTTGATCGATGAACGCCCCTCCATGTCAAACCTCCATTCGGGAGTCAATACCCTCCACCCGCTCAGTCACCCAACAGTTTCCCTGTAGCGTATATGCATGCCAAATTGTACAGTCGATTCTTCATCTCCTCCTGCTTTCCGCCTCTCTGGTCTAGACATATCTGGATCCCAGTCCATGCACCGCTCAGTCTTTGGATTAGCCGGTGGTCGTCGGCTACTCGTCTTCCTCCACTTCCACTGCAGTGTAAGCATCTCCGGAGCCGGGCCTTTCTCAGCGGACCAAACCGACTTCGTCTTTTCGAACAGGAACCGCGGGCATCGGCTGTCCAGCAGGGACCACTTTGGGTGCTGCTGGCGCAGGTGACGAGCCTGCCAAGGCATCTGTTATAAAACAGAAGCTCGAAATTGGTGGCTCGGCGGTCTTCCGCCCTACCCGTATAACACTGACTCTCAACGGGCCGACTTCAGAGGCGATTGCCATCGAGAACGTGGCAACCCTGTCGGACCCGTGCGCCGTCTCACCACATGACGGCCCTCGACCAGCGACAATTCTCCGCCAGGCTTGGACTGTGACTGCTGGGGAGTTGGCGAAGGAAGCCCCTCGTCAGTTTCATTTCGCTCCCGCCGTTCAGCTCGCTAGCGATTTGTCAAAACCCAGGACAACGGTCAGGTCCAATCTACACCAGGAGACAGACCTGGTGCCAGCAGCTGTGCCGTTGTCAAAGATGGGTCTAAATTGTGGTCGTCACCTCACAAGGACGGGAAGACCCACGGCTGCTGGGTCTGCCATAGTAGTGCCTGGCCACTAGATGTGGGCGAGACCAGCCGATGGTAAATGAGCCGCCCTCCTCGGCGCATGCGGACATTGCTCGCGACACGATAGACAACCTGCCAATCGCCCATTTTCGTTGGAACCATCTCGCCAGAGCAACAATACCGGGGCAACATCGCGAACTCTCTGCAAAATGCACCACTACCGGTTTCCACTTTGTTGTCGGTAACGATGCAGTTAACCGGGAACATGCCACAACCACATAACTCCACTTTGCCCCATTGAGCATCGACACTACGGTAGAACTTGGATCTATGTGCGACAACGGCACACTCACATCTGGCCCGTGAAGAGCTCAGGCGACTATTTCCCGTCTTGACACCTGCTCCTACCTGATTCTGTTCACCGCGAATCCGGGGTGCGGACGGGCGGGCGTTCCCTAACACCATCCGACGACGGCTTCCCCACCTCACCACTTCCTCGACAACCCGTCTCTGGGATTCTATTTGATACCAAAGTAGGGTGTTTAATAGCTCGCTGCAGGTCGACGACCGGGGTGCTCTCTGCCGTGTCCGACGACCTCTCAGCGCGACCCTTTGGGTGAGTCAAATGTTGGTTGTAGGCTGGGGTCCAGGATCCAGGGTGCCATCGGACCAAGGTTTCGACCTCTACCTTTGTTTCGGCGATCGAGGGCTGGGTGGAATAGGGCGTCGTGATTCTGTCGATGCCAGCCGCGGACGGCCCTCTCATGCTGTGCAGGTAGCGGGAGCGAGTCTTTGCTACCGTGGCTCACAGCTCCTACTAGGGAAGATACTCCGGCGGGGTTTGCCGTCTGTCCAGAAACGAGCAGCCTCGATGCCCGGATTGGGAGGCAGCCGTGTGACTTGAACACACAAGAGGCCGAGACCAAGAGCCGCGCATCGCCCGACCACACTCATCAAAGCCAAACACGGCTGGATCCCGCGGGTGATGGGCTGCATGTAACATGTTGGCCGGTACTTGCGAGTTTGGCGTCGACAACTGCGGTGTCACCGCTAGCAAGCCTGGTCGTTGTCTATTTGACTTTGCCCTCCGGTTTCCACACTGGCATGGTCCGTCCGCTGTGCACGTCAGCGACGGTGGTCTCGTATGAGGTCTTGTTAACCTCGACCACAAGTCTACGAACAGCTTCACGTGGCCGCCCCACCCGAGGTTCCTTGTTGACTGCGTGTCCCGCACAGCAGTCCCCAAGGACTAGTTATGGAGGTACAGCCGTCGCTGGCATCTCATCTGCAGGTGCCATCCTACTTCACGTTACTGTGCATACAGAGACCCTTTTGCCCGGATCCGAAGACGCCCAAACGGTATTTTCTTGCACCGCCTCACATGCGCGGCTTCTTCGGCTACCGTATCGGGGACATTTCGTCTTCATCTTCCCGAATTTGTTCGGTAGCGAACTGGAACCTGCTGGCCTGCACAATCGAGGGGCGTCCGTTGCGGCCGCATAAGCGAACGGTGGGACTTGGGGTGACTGCGGCTGTATTATACGTTGGGGGCGTCCTCTCCCTTCTTCCCCAACTGCAAAGCCGATCACGACATGTGTCAGCCAGGTGCCACTCGCCCGCTGCGAGCCGAAGATCAGGTGTTTTGGCTGATGACTGTCAAGCCATTTCCAAAGGGTTTTTTGAGTTTCTTGTCTACATATGCAAGTTTAAGATCAATGGCTACAGAAAATGTTTTATCCCAAAGGCGCCCAGCAACTATTCGTCAAATATGACGGCCGTGACCTCACCCTCGACATTGGCGCTCGCGATTATGTCGCCCAGCTTGCCCGATGCGGCATCACGGCTGATGATGACGACGCGACTGTCCGACTGAAGGCCAACGGCGACCAAGTCGCCGGCCTTGTTGACGGAGAACTGGCGGGGGATGCGGCCGCCCGCGGGGAACTTCTGCAGGAGCGTGAGCGCGCCCGTCTGCGCGTTGATGCTGAAGCTGTTGAGGGAGTCGGAGGGGACCTGCGCGCCCTCGCCGTTGGTGTCGGGGTTGCTGATGCTAAATGCCGAGTCGTTGCGCGAGGAGACGGTCAGGAACTTGCCGTCGGGCTGGGCATTGTTAGCGTGAACCGGTGATGCAAGGGCCCTGTACTCACCGAAACCCAAATCTCAGCGCCGCTGGCGCCAACAGGTGCAGTAGCGCCCTCGCCATAAGTAGAACCCGAGTACACCTCGTTGAAGCCGAGCGTCTTGTTCTCACGATAGGTCACGTCATAGGCGGTGATGGTGTTGGCAAGCTCGCTGATGAGATACAGGTACGTCTTGCCTTCGGGGGTGACGAGGAACTCGATGTGGCGAGGTCCGCTACCAGGGGCGGCTGTGAGGGAGTCGACGGCAGCGAGGTTGACGCCGTCAACAGCGAAGACGCGAACGAGGTCGGCACCTAGGTCCGGCACCAGGACGAACTGGCCCTTGGGGTCGAGGAACACCTCGTGGGGGTGCGGGGCCTCTTGGCGCGACGGGTTCGGGCCCGGTGCAGACATCTTGAAGGTTTCGGACTTGACCGCCGTGAGGGCGGCTGTGTCGGAAATGTCAAACCAACTCACGGAAGAACCGCCACTTCTTTGGTTAGCTATTTCAAACCCAAATATAGAGACAAAACATACTACTGAGCGACGGCCAGACCCCGGCCTTTGTCGCCGTAGATAACGGCACTGACGGGGCCGCTGATGGTCTCGGTCTTGGCCAGCTGCTGGAGCACACCGTCGGGGCCAGTGGTGAAGGACGAGATGGTGCCGACGTTGGTGGTCAGGCCCTCGTCCGTACAGTAAAGCCGAGAGTTGACTTGGTCGAGTTGCAGCCAAGACGGGCTGGGAGCGCAGCCGTTGGACGACGAGATAGACCGCAGGGTAGACTGCGTGGCGTTATTGCCAGACAGGGTAAGGTTGAGCGTGGTGATGGCGCCGCTGTATGACGACACATAGAGCAGCGTGGCCGCGGCCGGAGACGACAGCAGAAGCGGCAAGAAGCCTGCAGGGGCGAACAAGTCTCGCATCATGTTGGGCAAAAGCAGGATGACAGCGTTCGTCAACGAGTAGCGCTGCCGTGGACAGAAGAGGCACAGGAGCAGTGCGAGTACGAGGCAAAGAACGAGTGTGCCGGCGAAAGGTACGGATATTACGAGATGGGACGACAAAAGAAAGGGAGGGCGACGTCTTGAAGAGCGAAGCCGACCCATCTTCGGCAGCATTGAACGCCAAGAGCAAGACGGGGGTCTTCCGAACCTGTCGTCAACGACTGCTTATCGGCCTTGGTTCCCTGGTCTTCTGTGCTCTGCCTTGGAAGCCCACAGACAGTGTTTGTGTGGATTTGAAACGGTGACTTGTGTTTCCTATTTGGGACGCCAACGACATTCTTCCGTGCTTCTGGTAGCAACCTTAATCCAGACTGGCTCTGCCCGGGGCAGTGCTTCCGTAGCGGTAGCCCAGGAACTGGCGGAGTGGTCGGAGTCCTGTCGGAGTTGGAGTGCAGCGCGGATATCTTCACAACAGGTCAACCCTGACTCGAAGTTAGCAAAGCGGACCCTTTGTGCTAGGGGAACTCACGATTTTTCGCTCTAGTATCATCGTCAGCCTTGGCACAAGCTTCGGATTGAGTGTCGCCCGAGCCAGTTAATGCGCTCCCCCCCCCGTTGTTGCTGTTGTCGATGACGACCGCAGGACGAGACGAGCAAGCCGAACCGCAACCACAGGCCGGCACCGGTTCGTCTGTTGTCACAGTTCACACGAGCCGTTCAACAAGGTGTCACACAAACTCTCAAATTTGTGGTTCGGGTGGAGAAGGTCACCTTGGACTTTAGCTGTGTGCCGTGTCCGATGCGGAGAATGTGGAGAAGAGAAGAAGGGGGACTGGAGGACAGGCGGAGAGAGTGAGGGGAAGAGAGACGACGCCCGCGAATCGGCGTGGCCTGTTAACCATGAAAGTGGTCCCATCTGCCGTGATGTGGATGCCCTTTTGGTTGTCGGTTGTCAAGATGCGCCGTGGGGAACCGCGAAATTTTCCAATTTGCGTTAATCTATTCAGCCCCCAATGAGACCGTAAACCCGAAGTTGCGGCCACTCAGGCACGGGACGATGCCGTCGATGGACCTGGATTTGGCTTGAATCGAACGGTGGCCTGCAGTGTGTCAACTCTGACACAGCCGCTGAGCGCATTGTCGAGCGTCCTTCATCGGCCTACGCCGTGCGGCAGGCTGTTTCGAGAACACATCCTGACATTGAGGTTGGCAATAGCTGCGGGAGCCGAGCAATAATTGGTTTTGATGGGTCAATGTCACGGCAAACAGATCGCTAATGTCGTAACGATAACGTCTACTCGCCAGTTATCTCCCCTCATCTGCCATCTGACCGAGCCGCCGGCAGTCAATAGGTCGGCTAGGGTCAGTAGCAACCTTTACGAGTCCGTGCGCCCTCCACAAAGCCGTCTGACTGGGTGCCGGCGGGAGTCAAGTGACGCCGTGCATTGTGACGGAGCCGGAGGGGTGTTCGCGAATCATCCGGATGTAAGATTTGTCTGCAGTGGGATGCACCGCGGTCCATGTAGCTTTCTCCGCATCCGTGTCCTGCAGCCGTCGCCCGTTATGGTGTCTCTCCGTCTGCTTGTACTAGGCCGATCGGCGGTTTGAAGCTTCGTCTTGCTGCACGTCTTGTTGGCCTGAACTTGGGGTCTGCCATGTGGGTGTTGCGTCGATGAACTGCTCTGGTCGACTCATCGGCGCCTGTACCTGGATATGCAGCTTAGTCAAACGGCCTGGGTGAGGCTGGCATCGTGGTCAGTTTCAGCGCCGACAGTGGACTCGCTGCGCTAGCTCATCACCGGTCCTTTCACTTTGTACGAGACTAATGTGCAGTTGAGCAGTTTGTGCCCAACAGTACGGCCGGTTGTCAGGCGTATCTATCGCCTGGCATCGTCTTCAGGGTCGAGCTATTCTTCTAATCTGTCTCTTCGCGTTGGACCCCGAGTGTAAGACTCGAGTTTCTTCACCACAATGTAGTTTTCCTAGTTCTAGACCTGGCACGACTGGCAGTGACTGGATCCAAATCATGACAGCCGACGCTATGGCGTTTATGCGGCTTCATGTGCGGGGGACGTAGCATCCAATCAACACCCTAGCCAAAACCCCTTCTCTTTGTTGTTTAAAGGCTAAAGTCAAGGCCAATCGAATCTGCGAGGGAGGGTCATCTTGTGGGTAGTTCTGCACGACTCACCTCGAGGCCAAGGGCAAAAGGAACTTGGAGCCGTCCTTCCGTGCCGTGTCTCGTGGGACCTGGTTGCTGTTTGGTGAGGTTGTCAATTTGGGTACCATTTCTGTATGGCGTGTAAAGCGCTGCAGTGCGGTATGTTATTTCTCTCAGGCTAACTCACGGACGCCATCCCTAAGCTCTCCTCTCCTCAGACCAATCCTTAAGTCGGGGCAACGGGTCGCAGTTCGGGTCAAAGAACCCCGACATTCATCCAACCAAACCGGCATTGCGATCAATCTGCTGTTTACCCAAGCGTTTCCTTCTCACGTTTCCAGTAGCAGTTCACAATTCAACAGGCGCGCCTGGTTTTGCGAAGATAGAAATATGCACAAACGTGTTTATGCTTTCTCAAACATCGTGGGAGTACTATTCCCCTTGGAGTGCGATAAACTGTAGGGTGCCTGCGACTAGTTAGCTAGTGTTGATGAAGAATGCACCGCGAGACTTACTAGAACCTGCTTTGCGTTACAGATTCTCCAGGCCATCTTCTTGACATTCCCGTCAGCAGGCACGATTGCAGGGGCAAACTCGATACCAAACATCTGGTGGATGGCGTAGACAATGCGCTTTGCGTACTTGCCGTCCCGCTCGACGTGGCTGCCAAACGGCTCGTCGACGGTGGCGGGCGCGATGTCGGGGTCCCGGTCGCAGCAGTTCTGCACCAGGGGTAGCAAGGCTTGCTCGACAGCCTTCTCATACATGCCATTGGCGTCGACCTCGACGTCGTCCTCGTCGAACCTGCCGATGCGGATCTCAAAGGGCTGCGAGATGGTCATTACAGTGTGGGCCCCAGCGTGATGGTACCGGAACTCGAAGACCCCCTGAGTCCACCAGAGCCTGTCGCCCTCAAAAATAACTTCGCCTTCGACCAGGTCGGGATCGGACGGGTCCTGCTTTTTCACGGGGCGATCCGGGACGAGGATTGCCTTGTCCGCCGTTGCAGCGTCGTAGTTGCCGGGTGTGGTGGGTACCCACCGGCCCAAGGACGAAACCTCAGTCGCTTCTCTAGAGCGGTTGTCGGTCACCATGTAGAGCCCGATCCAGTCCTTGCTGTCGTGCTTCGCGGGGGCGCGCCACTTGACCTTCAACGGGGAGCCATAGTCAAACATCAATGTCTCGGCACCACGGTGGAAGCGTGCCGTCACACTCTCCTTGCCGGTGGCCCGCTCGTTCGCCGCTGAGTGGCTCGAGGGAGTCCCCTCCACGGACAAGGAGTAGAACTTGGGGTTCAGGCCGGCAAGGTCGGGGGACAGACGGGTCACGGTCAGACGCGCCGGGTACTTATTGAACAAGGCCGACGTATCGCGGACGATAGTCTTGATGCCGGATGCGAACTTGGGACGTGCGGTATCGAGGAACTCCTCAATGAATTGGGCCGTGTCATCAATCACCTTGTCAACGCCTCGCTGCCAGCCCTGAACGGGCGGCGGGAGAGAGCGTTTGATGAACTTGGTCAAACCTGCTTCCTGTCGGAGGCCTCTCCCATAGATCTTTTGCATGTGCGGCTTCTCAATGAAGTTGATGAAGCCTAGTGTGAACAGCTGGCTAACCAGCGCCATGATGAAGATGGCTCTGCTCCACGTGATGAGAGCAGATCCCCACAAGCCAGCCGTTCCAAAAATTCGCTCAGGATTATTGAGGAAGCGATAGATGGATTTGTATGTCAGTCTGGCGGTCGAGTCGTAGAAAAAGTCGCCGTAGAACCAGCCAAACTCCCCGAGAGACTCATAAACGCTGACGGCCGTCCAGATTTGCAACGCAACGAGGCCGGCTCCAACAACGTGCTTGAGGAGGACCCATCCGTAAGCCCAGTCTTCGGGCGGCGAGTACATCTTCCAGCATGCTGCCATAAAGGAGCCCGTCACCATGACCAAGCTGAGATGATACATACCCTTCCACTGGTTCCAGGCCTCTGTGTGGCTCTCACCATACTTGAGGAAGTGTCTCGTCCAGAACTTGTTGCGGGACTGCCACGCAAGAATGGCGCCCAGGCCAAGGTGGTACCACACGCGCCAGAACAGAGCATGCAAAACGAAGAGGACTTGGAACAACGGGGTCGACGGCGTGACCAGGGTCAGAACTGCCAAGTAGAAGCCGAGCAGCAAGACCGAAGTGTCAGTGACACGGAACAGATCAAGGTTGTTCAGGCCAATCAGGTTGTGCACCTGGGGAGGCGCCTCTTGGGACGAAAGCTCTGGGGACGAGGATGCTTGGTCAACCAAGATTTCCTCGGTGTCTGACGACTTGATTGCGACAAGCTGCGGCTGGCCAGTAACTGGCGTCGAGACAGTTCGCTTGCGAGGCGCAGGCGGGTTGTATGTCTTCTCAATGTGCGGGTTCTCGACAATCACCAGGAAGGCGAACTGGGCAAGGTGGGCAATGATTGAGATGAAGAGGACCTCATAGCTCGCGGCCATCATGGAGATGCCGTAGTAGCCGGCGTACCCAATTGAGTACATGGGATGGGGGGCCATCTCGAAGACGCCGTCAAAGGTCAGCTCCTGGTCGACGAGGTAGAAGAAGTCTCCCCAGTACCAGGCGTAGTCCTTGACGACACGGTGAGCGTCGAGCTTGACCCACAGATTGAAGAGAACCAGGAGAATGCCGATGGACCATCGACCAACACCAACCAGCAGGTTCTCGCTCTCGGGGGTGTGGCCGCATGTTATGGCAAAGAGGCAGTAGGACACAAAGTCACACATGAGAATCAGATCGACAACACGGCGGAAGACGAGCCAGGTGTTGTACTCCATGG